AACAGGTGGTGTTTCCAAAGATCTCCAAATGCATCACCTTTTAAAAGACCCCCCCACCCCAGAGCCTGAAGGCAAAATGCTTGACAGACTTGGGTGACTCTGACCCTCCCTTTCTATTCAAAAGGCTCTGGAGGGAAACGGTGGCTGAAGAAAGGCTCACACAGACTCCCAGACTTTCCAGTCCCAAGGCCAGCTCTGGGTGCCAGGCCCTGCACCCTTTCCACCTCCTGGTCCTCGATCCCCATGGCAATTCTATCGAGGACCCACTAGTGGAACTGTGTGGATCTCAGAGAGAGGAGAAAGGGCCCTCCACCCGGTGGGCGCCAGTCACATTAGGAATGAAATCCAAACAGAGAACCCAGGATCTAGACAGCTATCGGTAGATGAAGGCCAGACCCCTTTCTCACCTTAGAGGAAGAAGTTAATGAACTCTCATTCCAAAGCAAGTTCACTCAACTATAAAGGCCTGCAAGCTGGTTAAAAGCAAATGTGCTCTTTTGTTGTAGTCTGTGTTCCTATGGTGCACAGCCTGGTTAATAGGGTTGCTAGCAGACCCTGCAGACCTAACCCTGTCTCAGGAGGTATGCTGGAGCCAAATCACCCAGGCACACACCTGAACGACAGGATGGCACAGTGCTAGATGCTGGCAGCCCCTGTTGGAAGGGCTACAGCCAGCCTGCCACCAGATGTAGTATTCCGACCCATTACTCACTTCCTCTGCATGGTACCAATGGAAGTGATGGTACCAATGGAAGTGATGCTTAAATGAGTCATTCCCTTCTTATCCCATGTCTCAAATTATATACCAGTCAGAATGGCCCTCCCATTATAGCCAACTCACATTCATCTAACTCCAGGTTTGTGCCCTAATGAATTCACTATAGCTTTAATGGGGTGATCTCTGGATCCTAAAGTTGCTATCCACAAAATGTCCCTACAAGTAGCCTATCAATGTGCCCAGAATCTATGTATGTTGTTGACGGAGTCTCCACAAAGCTCACTGATGGATATCACATGCTCTTTTGCAAGGTGCTCCCCTGAGGATGCAATGGAGCTGAGATCTGCTCAACTAGCAGTAGAGCCCACTCTTGTAGGTTCATCTCGAGCCAGGCCTCTAGCATGTACATGCAGAACTTAATACCAGCCAGCCACCTCTGCCCTTCATGGATCTCCAGCTGGAAAAGCCACCTTTCCCCAGCTGGCCACCACCCCCAAGCACATCAACACCTCAGATGACATGGCCCCAACCCATGAGCTCACCATCGGAGATGACTGTACCTCAGATGGTGACACCACACCCAAGGGAAACATGAAGAAGACAATGTGTCCCCAACCTCACTATGAAGCATCATTTCACTTATATGGCAAGCCAAACACTGTATTCTAACCTCACTAGCCACAATAAAGCATTTCTTTGGAACACCCCTAGCTTGACCTGCTTAGCCCAATGGTTTGGGGCCTCTTGCTGCCGTGTTCACTGTACAAGGTTACAGGTTTTGTTTTCCACACAAGGCATCCAGGACAGACCCTATTCCTCCAGTTATTCCCACCACAACTGCAGCACCTGCTGCTCCACACCAGAAATTACCACATCCACTCCTTTCCACACCTCCTCCATAAGCTCCTCCCCCATATATGCAGTGACCCTGCCCCACACCACAACCCCGGGGCCGGATCTGGCATGACTGTATTCATACAAACCTTCAAGACAGGATCTGTTGCCACCCGGGTCAGACCTAAAGCCCATCACTACCTATCCCACAGTTCTTCCAAATGATCAGCACACTGTGCTAATTTCCCCCAAAACACCACAGGCCTCATTTAGGCTAAACCAAATGGTTAATCTAGCCCCCCACAAACAGGGCACCCTGTGAGTAAGCATCAAAAAATGAACTCCCCACAGTCATACTTTCTGAAGGCCACCAACTACACTGGAACATGAAAGGCTGGACCTCGCCACGTGCACGTACTCCCTGCCCCATAACAATACATCACATCTCATTCAAGTTCTGTTGTGGCTCTGACTTAAGGAGCCAGAAGTCCACATGGCCCTGCCCAGTCTGCAAGCTAACCAAGGGGATGACCCCTCTTACTGCCATGGTCACCTTCAATATTCCAGCCACCTTTGTCCTCCCTCCTGGCACCTGTCCACTAGAAATGCCCTGCCCTTACACCAAAAGAGCCATTCTTATCTCTGCCCTGTGGGGACTGGCTCTCACCACTGACACAGCAGTCATAGGAACAGGTGCTTCTGCCCTTGGCCAACAAGACCAAATATTAAAAGCCACACAGCGATGATCAGCCACCCTAATCAATCACATGTAAACACTATAGCATGCTTCGTGTCTGATGCAGCAACAGTGTATGACTCAGTAACACAAACAGCTGACATGAGACTTCCTACTGGCTGAACAGGATGAAATCTGTTCTCTACAGACCACTTTCCACCGCCTGTACATTAACACTCAAGACAGGCATAGGCCAACCTCCTTGGCACAAGATGTGTCAAGTTTACAGGTCATGCATTACACAGCTAAAATATTTCAACAAATCCCCACACTCCTGGAGGTCCCTGATTTGTTCTATGGCTCTCACCACCCACCTATGAACAATGGCTAAGAACTGGATCTCAAACAGTAGTGTTTGTTCATCATAGGCTTCAATATTATTGCCTTAATTAAATGTGCTTTTGGTTTATAGCAGCTTCAGAAAACAACACCTATGCCCTTTAAGATATCTGCTACACAAGTGATTGCTATTCCTGACCTTGACGTATCACAGGATGGATTGCTGAGAGCTTAGTTAAGCTACTTCGTGGTACTGCTCCTCGGTATCCACCTTGTTTGGCTAAGTGACCTGTTTTAAACTGACACTAGCTCCTCATGCAGGTGCATGCCCTATATAACAGTCCAGAGTCAAATGCAAACGTAAGTTCCTGATATGACTCCTCCAACTGGAAACTGCTTTGTGATAAGCAGTTTCTCCTGACTCCCAGGGCCTTATCCCCCTTTACATAAAACCCTTCCCTCCACCCCACAGCTTACCAGAACCCTGCTCTTAACAGGCTATCCCCCTTGACTCTGGAGCATGCCTGCACCTTTCCCTGTCCCCTCTTCTTCCCACCAGGTGCATTACCTTTGCCTTTCTCCTTGGCTCCAAGGGTCCTTCTACTACCTCTGTAACTCTCTAAATTTTCTCTTATAATTTGAAAAAAAAAGTCTACTCTTTTGTTTGAATTGACCAGTCCATTCTTAGCCTGGGACCCTCAAAGCATTCTACCCTTGGACCCTAATAAAGTCGTGTGCCCAAGGTCTTGTCACTCTCTCTGCCTGCACCCTTCCTTGACCTCTTTTCATGGCCCTTGAGGAGTCATGCTATGGACTTTCTCCAGGACCTATAAATGTTAAACTTCTCTATCTTAATTTCTCTTGTGGTCTTTTATATAACTTCATGGCACCCCAGGACCCCACTTAACAATTGTTAATTTAACAAAACCGTAACAAAATTTGCACACAGCAAAGGAAACCAACAAAATAAAAAGCACTATAGAATGGGAGAAAACATTTGCAGGCCATGTATCTGATTTAAGAGGTTAATATCCAGAATACACAGTAGTCCCCTTATCTATGATTTTGCTTGCTGAAGTTTGTTACCTGCGGCCAACCATGGCCCAAAAATACTAAGTGGAAAATTCCAGAAATAAAACAGTTCCTAAGTTCCAAATTGCTTGCCAATCTGAGTAGCGTGACGAAATCTGGTGCTGTCCTACTCCATCCCTCAAGGGACCTGAATCATCCCTCTGTCCAGGGGAATCCACACTGTACCTGCCCATTAGTCTACCTACCCTAACTTGGTAGCTGCTTCAGTTATCAGATCCACTCTGGTGGTATCCCAGTGCTTGTGTTCAAGTAAACTTTATATTACTCAGTGATGCTTCATATAACTTTTATGACTCATTAAGTATACTGTTACCATTGTTCCATTTCATTATTAGCCATTGTTCTTAGTATTTTGCTATGCCTAATTTATAAAACAAATTTTATCAGAGTTTTGTATAATAAAAATAGTGTATAAAGGGTTGGGCATTCACTATGGTTTCAAGTACCCACTGGAGATCTTGGAATATATCCATGACAGAGGAAGGAGGACTGCTGTACAAGAAACTCAAGCAAGGCTCTGGCTCTGCAGCTCAGTTGGTTAAATCATCCTCTGGATGTGCCAGGGTTGCGGCAGGCTCCACCCTGGGTCAAGGCACACACAGGAATCAACCAATGAATGCCTAAATAAGTTGAACAACAAATTCATGTTCCTCTCTCTCTCTCTCTCTAAATTAATAAATTTTTAAAGTATTGTGAGAAAAATATTTTGTGAGGAAATTAACGTCAAAAATTGCAAAATACAAATAAAGCTCAGTCACCTAAGATATTATTACCACGAATGGGAATCAAGTAGATAAATTTGGAAGGTCTTGTCTACGAAGCTATAAGGAAATACCTAAATCAAAAAACTGCAGTAGGGAGCCAAACATTACTAAAAAAATAAAATTGACACAGTGGTCTCTGGAAGGAGGGACTGGAGGCAGAGAGGAGTAAGGCAATGAACTGCGACTTTTTATCATAACCTATCTGTGCAGGTATTGCTTTGATCGCACTCAAAACACAAAATTTGAAGAAAAGTAATAGCGGAGAAGGCATCCCCAAATAAAAGCCTATTAATTATGTATATAGGTTCAGTTTTTCCTGTTATCAGAATCCACTTAGAAAATTTATAAAGAGACTAAGATCAACAAAAGCTCATCTGGTGACTGAAGATCTTCCAAAAGACTGACTCATTAAGTAAGATAAAGTTTGGAGGTCAGCGCTAAGAATTAGGTTGTGACCCCCGGAGATTCAGAACGCAAGCCAACCAGCACGCGAGCTTGAGACCGCAACAATGCCTCGAGGGAGGAGGGGCTAGTGGCGTCACAGAGAAGTCCCGCCCCCCTACGCTGCGCACCAGGGTGGCCCGAAGGATTCAGGCGGCGCCGGCGCCATCTTGCAGGAGCCTGCGACCGAGTGGGAGTCGAGTGGAGCGGCCTTAGTTGCCGACTCTTTTCTTCTCCCCACGGTCCGGTCAGCGGGTTGATTAGGCCATCGGCCCTCAAGGCGAGACTTGTCTCTTATTTAGTTCTGGGGAGCGCCTAGCCGACATGAGTGATGTAGAGGAGAACAACTTCGAGGGCAGAGTGAGTACAAAGCCGCGGGAGCCGTCTTCGGCGGCGGCCCAATGCTCGGGGTTTCACCGGGGACAGCGCGGTGGGGCAAGGTTGCGGGGAGTCGTGCGGGGGTTTGCGGGGAGCAGCCTCTGGAGCCATCGCCGTTGTTCCCTCATCCCAAGATGGCTTCTGGGATCCACTCCTGCCCCAAACATCACGGGTAGTCCCTCTCCCCCCTTTTTGGAGACTGATACCTGGACTCCTGGGTCCGATTTCCCCCTGCAGTGCGCCCTCCCTTCTCGCCACCCCTGAGGCTTCCTTATCTCTGTTGCGAGGTGTGGGTCCCCGTCGCGGTGAGGCGGGAGGAGGCGGCAGGGAATTCCCTTCCGGCCGGATAGTGGTAGGTGATTCCTGCGGTGGCCTTTCTAGCGACCTCGAGCATCGTGGAGGGTCTCGGGGTCGAAAGTGCGCGGGGCTGACGTCCGGGCGGGGAGAAGCTGGCGTGGGACTAGCTGCGGCCTGTGTCTCCTTGGCTCTCTATTGCAGTGAGCGGCCGCGTCTCTGTTGGAACCGGCGGCGTTGCGTCTATAAAGGCGAAAGCCTTGAGGTTGAAGGTGGGACGAGCCCAATGAAGTGGTTAGTCAACGACCGCAGCGACCCTTAAGCGTTCTTAAGACGAGAGCTGTGAGGGGAAAACTACGCAAGGAGCCCTTTTCCCCTTAATGTCCCTTCTTTCATTTCAAAAACTGTGGAAATGCTATAACGCTTATTTTTCTGATTCCTTGATATTGGGTTTTTTTTTTCTCTTCGTTGTATCTCAACTTCTAATGCTTTTCTTCCTGTGGCCTTTCATCTAAAACCTGAGCACTCCTTTACAGGTTTCTACGGTAAAAAAGAAAGAAAGAAAAAGAAAAGGGGTGGGGGAAATCTTCTGGTTTAATCTTACATAACTAAACATATTTCGTGGCTCGGTATTTTAAAAATAGCTAGTCAGTTTATCCTGTGCTCTAACTCAAAACGGTAGCTGAGAATTACAGGCCCTCTCTCATTTTTCAACCAACAAAGAGGGCTCAGAGGTTTTCATTATTTGGGGTCGATGAATATAAACCCCTGGAGACGCTCTCCTGAGTTTCAGTATACAAGAACAGTTACCAGTGTTGGAGTTACGTTTTCGAAGTTACCCTCGCAGTGGAAATTGGTGGGAGGGAGGGAATGAGTGAGTGAGTGTGAAACCCCGAAAACAATGCCCAGGCAACTTGTTCCGTCTGCTGTGTTGGTATTTTAGTCACTAGGAAACGCATAGAAAACATTTGAGGTGTGTGCTGGATGGAATGCATTTTGCCTGTTTTAGAAACTTAGTATAAACACCTGGACCCAGACCGTGAAATCAGGAGGTCGATTTAGGCTTTTGTTCTTTTTAAGGAAAGAGATTTGAATAGATTCTAAACAAAAAGGCTTCTTTGAATGGATTTTTTAACATATAATCTGGAGGCTCTGGCTGGTGTAGCTCAGTGGATTGAGCGCGAGCCTACGAACCACATAATCGCGGTTTGATTCCCAGTCAGGGCACATGCCTGGGTTGCAGGCCGGTTACCTGCAGGCCAGTTCCCAGCAGGGGACGCACAAAAGGCAACCATACATTGATGTTTCTCTCCCTCTCTCCTTCTCCCCTTCCCCTCTAAAGATAAACAAATAAAATCTTTAAAAATATATATATATATAATCTGGAGCATAGATATAAATGAGTGGTTGAACTTGCTCATTTTTTTTAGGATAGGGTATTTCTTGTCCAACAAAACTTTTAAAATTGTGTAATAATTAGTAGTGGTTGTAAGCTGCTTCTTGTTTTGAAAATATTAGGTAGTTAGGGAAAGAAATTCTGCCCATTAATCTTTCCTTCAATTAACTGTAGTACAAAAATTATTTTTGTTAATGTTTGTTTTAATTTGGTATGTGGGGAAGTGAAGTGGACTTACTGTTTTGGACCTTGTCTCCCTTAAGTTCATATTTTTCAGTTAGCCATCTAGTTGAGGAAGAAAGCAAGTTTAAGGTATTTATCACTTTATCCACCTAATATGTAATAATATCTGTAAGATTCACCCAATTTTAAGCTAAAATGTACATAGGCATTGATTTATTTTAATAGAAAAGGGTTTTTACCTCCCACCCCATTATTGTGTTTATGGTCATAGAAAATACTTTTTCACATGTGATACCAGAAGTGTATTTTAGTGTGAATGAACTCAGATTGAATGAATACGTCCATGTTCACTTGTTACGTGTGTGTGTGTGTGTGTGTGTGTGTGTGTGTGTGTGTGTAGGTTGAGGTACTTGTTTTATTTTTAATTAGTTAAAGAATTAGAAGGATGACAGCTTTTCTGACTGTTTACTTTTTAAGTTTTTTTTTCTTAAAGCAATTCACTAGTGCTTTTGTTTTTAAAGTGATTTTTTTAAAATGTGCTAACCACAAACCAGAACTTTAAAAAACAATTTATAGAATACAGTTGTTCTTATCTTTGTATTTAAATTTAGAAAGGCTCAAAAAAGGATTTGAAGGTGTTTAAGTAGTTATACTTCTTTTTAACTAAAATTAGAGCTGTCTGACAGGTCAGTATTCAGATTTCATTTGCTTTATCTGCAGAATAAACACACATTTAACCCATCTTACTGAAAAGATTTTTTAAATTAGAGGGCAACTTCTAGAGACTGCAGAACACATTAAAGAAACAGGGCTAATATTAAGACACTGTACTTTCATAGACTTAGAATCTACACCCACCTCCCCCAAAACTTGGACATACTTTCTAATTTACTTCTCACACTAATTTTTCAAGAGGTTATTACCATTTTAGAAATTAAAAACTGAGGCCCAGAAGACCACACAGCCAGGAATCTGAGATGTACAAGTCCCAGTCATTTACTCATTGCACATAACACTGTGTTGTATATCTTTTGATTTATTTATTTATTGATTTATTTATTTATTTATTTATTTTTAAGAGTGCACTGTACTTCGTTGTCTCTGAGTCATTAATGGATTTTGCTAAACACAGTTTTGAGGAGCTTAATTTTCCATTATAGATAAATGTCTCCTCCATTTTAAAGGACTGTGGAGTAAAAGGACTTTAGGAAAGAGAATATAATAGACCCAACTTAGTTATAAGTAACCCTATGACTTAACCAACCAGAATTCCTGTTTGCATGATGTCAAAACGTTGAACATCTGCTGCCTTTTTTTTTACCAAAAAAGCCTGATGTTCTTCAAGGAAAAAGAACTCGAAATCTTATTTGAGGTGACTGACAGCTCAAAACTGGGTGAAATAACTATATAATCAAGTGCTGTGTGATAGGATTAATAAAGGATTCCAGAAACCGGAGCTGAGGAATTCTGTGAGCTACGGGGGGGGGGGGGGGGGGGCTTTATGTAGTGTGTAAAACTTACTTTGGATTTTATGATTAGGGAAGTGAATGTTGATTGTTTGGGTGTGGTGATGAGTAGGTTGCTAGAATAGTGAGATGTGATAGATTTGATGATGGAGGGTTTTGTAGATAATTGTAGATTTATGAATTTGAGATATGGAACCATCTGTGGATTCTTCATTCTAGGAGTGACATAATGAAAGGGATTTTAGCCCAGAACAGAGGGACTGGTGTGGGAAGAGCAGCAGCCACATTTGAAATATTTAAGGAAGGAAATTATGAAAAATCTGGTCTAAACAGGACATCAGCGGGATGATAAGAATGAATAAGGCATTTTTATGGGCTCTGGGGGAATAATAGATCCTTAAAATAAATGAATTCATTAAAGCAATTTGCTTGGGATGTGTATATCGTTAACAGAAATACTGTAAGTGAAAATAGCTTTTGGAGGTTGGGGTTAGATTGGCACTTGAACTATGACTACATGTCATCTTCATAAAGAGTGAGTTATTTGTTTCACATAGCTTCGACTAAAATTAGGGTTTCAATGTGAAAAAATTTTAGTGTCCTTTAGAGAAATTAAGGGGGATTGAAATTAAGCTTTTCTTATCATTTCATTTATTTTATTCCCCTTAGTTATTTTAATGAAACTTAGAAAAATATTGAGTCTAATTTTTTGCTCATGCAGTGGGGCTCAGTGTTTTTAATAGAAGTTATTGATTCTTTATTGTGTAGGGGCCTATTTTATAATTCCACAATTGTCTATGCTTTGAAATACAATTTAAGAGGAAAAATACTACTTATTCTTGCTCCCGTTTTAGAACTTACTTCTACTTTTTTAAGAGACTCAGAGTTCCCCTTAATATATGCAGTTGTTGGCTGGATGATAAAAATGAAGAGCAAAACAAAAATTCACCTGTACCAATTTGGAATTAAAATTTGTATGTAGATATTTTGTTGAATAACAGAAATAGGCTTATTGAATCCTGTTTTACAGGTAACAGTGTCAGCACTGTAGCTTTTTTAAAAAGCTTAATTCAGCTTCTTCAGCAATTTAATTTTCCTCTCATCACATCAGCCCATTAAAAGGGATAAGGCTTTCTTTCATATAGTCGGGTTGTACAGTATTAAACTTGAGACAATCTTACTTGTCTTGGGTTTAATTTATCTTCTTGAAGTTAAGTACTGTCATTATCTAGTTTTAATGCTTTTTTATTCCCACTATCATTTAAACAAAGAATTTGTAACGTTAAGGAAACATTTTAATGCTCAAATTTTTATATTTGAAATTCTTTTCACTGAAGGGTACTAATTACTCAATGCAAGTAAAAGGTAGGATTTTTAAAAGGAGCAATGCAACTAATTGTGCATTGCATAACTAATTTTACAAATTTGTCATAACTGCTGCTTATGATTTGTACCATTTCTAAAAGAGAATAAAACTGTCTTGGGATCTGAAAAAATATCAAGAAATTGGAATATTTAGGATTGAGCTCCATTAAAAATGCAAATGAACTTTATGGGTTTGATTTTGTAAATGAACCTAGGGTATATTTACCCTATTTACCTAAGGTATAACAAGTGTGAAATGGGGGTGAGTAATCAGCATAATAGTTTACTAGAACTTACCAGATAGTGTGAAAACTCTGTAGTATCACTGGGTGCTTCGGCATCAAATAACTAAACCTGGAAGCTTTGTAATTAAAGTTGATACTTGTTCATAGTCCTAACAGACTTAGCAAGACAGAAGTGGAGGTGAGAAAAGGATAAAGATCAGATGGGGAAAAGAATCAGTCAAGTCTGTAAAAGAAGGTTGAGGGGAATAATGAAAATAAATGTATTCTCCTCCCTCCTTTAAGTTAACTGGCACGAATAGTTTTGTGTATAGGCATTATTTCATGATTTTCACAAAGGTGTGAGTGACCACGCGTAACCCATCTGATGTAGAGGAAAAGTTAGGATTTTTCCTTGAAACTAAGGCCCTGTAGTCTTATTCAAGATTCATAAATATTTCATGATTTTAGAAGATGAGAACATAAGTAGAGAATTCTCAGACGGGTTCTTACATTAGTAGTTTGCTTTTAGTTGCTATTTACTGGCTTTTATTATGCCTAAACCATATCAGTTCTTACAAATTTGTTGTCTATACTTTGAAATTATCGCTTATACACCAACTTCTTGGGTAGAACAATTGATTGTGACATATAAAATGGCAGGTTTATGAACCACATTAAAAATCTGTACAAAAGATGATAAATTTTACAGTGAACCCACAGTTGTGGCATGAATTTGATTGTGTGTGTATAAATGCTAATTTTGTTAAGCATTTCCCAAATTATTCCAAACTTAACAGAGTATAGACACATACTTTGCAGATATAAAGACCATTTGAACCTCACTCAGATTGCATCATACAGTATGATCTTAAAGAAAGTAAAATCATTTAAAGATAGCTGATATTATGAACAACTGGTATTTTCTTTTTAAAAAATTGCTTTAGTAGCAGTTTAGGGGTTAAGAATTGAGAGTGGGAGTATTTCTTTATAAGCCTATGTATGAGTTTGTAAAAGAAGCACCCTAACATACTCAAGAGGAAGGAGGCAGAACTGCTATTTCTGTAGACTGAAATTAAACAATTGAGTGAACACAGGTTTCTCATACATCCTAACGAGTGAAGTTCTTGGTACAATAAATATAAGTTATTTGGGTAATCTGAATTCCCCCCCCCATCCTGACATACAGTTTACCTAAATGCACTAGTGTGTTTCTATGGAAGTAGGTATCCAATATCATAAAGTGGGAAAATGTATTTCAAGGAAGTTTGTTTTTAAAAGCTTATGATCTATTCATATAGACTGGAATTTGTGTAAACTTGGCACTATTCTTGGCATAGAATTTGCCTTGCTATAATAGGACAGGTTACCGCATAACATTTACATTGATTTATGTGTTTATTTTAATAGGCTTTTAATCAGTAAGCATATATATTATTGGAGTTTTTCCCATCTATAATAGTTGCTTTATTTTTTTTAAGTGCAATTATTGCTCGCTGTAGCAATTGTTGGTGTTCTGCAACAATGGACATATATCGAATAACCCTTTTTCCTGATTAAAAGGATTGTACGTGATTGCTGGGGTTGTTTTCAGTGTGTAAAATACAACTGTATTTTAATAGAAAACAAAGATTCTTAGACTACTTTATTGAATACCCTTAACTTTCTTAATATTTATGGTTAGCTCCCTCCTTTTACTTCTGACTGTGTCTTTTAGCTACCACCAGGCATATCTTGATGGTGAGGAATAATGAAAAGAACAAACATTATTTAAGCAGGTTGTGCAGTGAGAACTTTTTGCCTGGCTTTTGATTTATAGTGGTTATGGTAGAATGGAAACCTATTTAACATTTATTTGTGACATGATGTGCTTACAAGTCAAAGGTAGAAGAGGATACTCTAGCATTTGTCCACAAAGGGCTTATAGCCTGGTTTCTAATGCACCGTACAGTGAAAATGGCATTTATTTGGCACCAGCTTTTGAGAAATAAGTTGCTTTAAGATGGCAAACTTTAATGTGACCATTTTTCTGTGTGTGAAGACTGTTAATTATTAACTGCTAACTCTTACAACAGTCCTTTGTTGGTGTAATAGGAGAAATAATTCTGAAGAATTAAACGTTTATTTAGGCTTCATTCTTTTTTATTTTATTTTTATTTTATCTTATTTTTATTTAGTTTGTTTACTTTTTTTGTTCATTTTTTCTTTGTAGTTTATTCTCTAGGCTAAGTTTACTGATGGTTATTGATTTATCTTTATAGTCTCAAGTCTCAATTATTTTGGAAGGTTAAACCGATAGTGACAACTTTGAAACTAGGAGTTAAAAGAGAATTAAGAAGACTTTTTTAACCTTGAATTACTTTGAAGAAATTTATGTAGCTCCTGCTGGTGTAGCTTAGTGAATTGAGTGTGGGCCTGTGAACCAAAGGGTTGCCAGTTCAATTTCCAGTCGGAGCACTTGCCTTGTTGTGGGCCAGGTCCCCAGTATGGGGCTCACAAGAGGCAACCACACATTGATTCCTGTCTCTCTCATTCTCCCTCCCTTCCCCTCTCTCTAAAAATAAATAAAGTCATATATATATGTATATATGTGTGTGTGTGTGTGTATATATATATATATATATATGACTTTACTTATATAGCATTTGTCCACAAAGGGCTTATTATATATAGCCTGGTTTCTAATGCACTGTACAGTGAAAATGGCATTTATTTGGTACCAGCTTTTGAGAAATAAGTTGCTTTAAAATGGCATATTTTAATGTGACCATTTTTCTGTGAAGACTGTTTATGAACTAATTCTTACAATAGTCCTTTGTTGGTATAATAGGAGAAATAATTCTGAAGAATTAAACGTTTATATATATATAAGCGTGTACATCATATACACACACACACACACACACACACAGATTTAGGTTCCCTCATTAAAAAAATAAGTTGAAGTGTAGGCAACAAAGGAGATTAGGTTTTGTAACACCTTGGATAATTAAAAAGTAAGCCTTCTTTTAAAATATACTGATATCTTTTGAAAAGATAATGTCATGTCTTAATGCTTTGTTAACAAATAAAGGGAAATTTGCATTTTTCCCAGTAAGTTACTGTGCCAGAGCTAGGATTTAAAATTTAGGGTGTTATTGATTACTTTGTTTATATACTAGCTTCTAAGAAAAGCCAATGTTCAGTAATACTGAATAATTTTCAGGTATTAGTCATGCTTATAAGGGAAGATTTGAAAATCAAATCTACACATATATTTGGACCATAAATTTTTTAGCCTGTACTAGAAAGTTTCACATAAACATTTAAGAATAAGGGATTTGGCTATAAGGTTTGATTTCTGTCCTAATAAAATTAAGGTTTTACAGTGTCACAGAGCAAAAAGCCTTCTGATATGCATGTACAATAAGGGCTGCGGTGATGTTCAGAGGGTATTCCATCTGTTATCAGCATAGTTAGTGAAGCAGCCTGAGACTGCAATTACAAGCAGATTAGCTATACCCTTTTTTAAAGTACTGAATATGCTGCTTTTACAGTTTTTCAGTGAGTCTAAAAGGCCTAAATTGCTGTTTCTGTTCCAAGGATCTGTCCAGAGTGTGTGAGATGTAATGGAGAACTTATGTAGATGGCTAAATGGGAAAGGTTAATATTGAACAGGAAAGATATATATTTCAGTTGTGTTTTCATCTGAAAAAATAAATACGCCTAGCGGCGTCAGTACAGTTCTTAACATTAAACAAAATGCAAGAAAAGGTTTTAAGGAAGTTGTATAGTAGGTAGTCTTATGGTATAAATGAAAATTGGTGTGAAACTGGGATAATATTTACACTGGTAAGCGAGGCTTAAATGGATAGAGAATCCAAACTGTCTATCCCACTTTGGTCATAAGTGCCTCGTTTAATGTATCTGTCACATTAAAAAAACAGGCTTTTAATCAGTTTGAAATTAATGGATTTGGACAGTTTTTTGTATACATATATTCAACTTTTTCAGAAGCCAGTCAGTTTACTAGTATAGTATATAATCACTAAAGGGAGTACAAATAAGCATAACTGCATAAATCTGCAAAAACTGAACAGAAAGAGGTGGGATAAAAATAAAGACCATGGTATTAATTTTGTAATAACTTCTCATGCATTATGATACTTCATGGATAATCCAGAGTTTAAAAATGACACAGTTGCAAAAATACATATATTAGGAATTTATAAGCTGGGGAGAAATTTAAAGAATTTTATGCTTTCTTTCCCCTGTTTTACTTCAGAACATATCTTCCTGGTTAAGTCAGAGTGAGCAAAGATAGTGGTGAAACAAAATTGGGAGATGTTACCTCTCTGAGCCTCAGTATGTATCCTATAATGTTTGATTTTAGATAGGTGTATACAGATGCTGCAGGCTAGGATGCTTTGCTTTAATTATATTTTGATATCTTAGCATGGCTTAGTGAAAGCTTATTTTAAGATCACTAAGACATCTTCAGGATATAAATTAGTGAAAATGTAAAACATAGGTGGGGGGTTACAGTTCAAGTTAGATTTATGCTTGGATTAAGTATTTATATTAAAATTGTTCACATTTTAGGAACTAGGATGAACCATGAAAGCGGGGAAGGGTGAAGAGTATGGTAAAAGACATTTAGAAAAGTTAGTGAATTCTCTTTAATTTTTAGAAACTAGACTTTTGAACAATTTTAAAGATTATAAAATTGGGGGTTTTTTTTGGTTTTTGTTTTTTTAAATAAACTAGTTATTTGCACTTTACCTGCTGGCTTCCATTTGGTAGATAACATTCTGAACTCCAGCAGAGTTTTATAATCCCCACGTGCTTAAATATACTAAATGTTCTTTTTCCATTAAGGTTAATGTTCGTGAAGAAATTGAAGAGTTTTTTCCAAGAATGTGGAAGATAAATCAAGATAAAAGAAGGCTAATGAAAAGTATTAAAGATCAGAAAATTAAAATTGAATGGGGGAAAAAATTGAACAGAAGATTGGTCAGATAGAAGCACTTGAATATTTTTTAAGGCTATTTTGAATTGTTTGAATTGGGGAAGAATACGCGAAGTATGAAAAATGAAAAACTCAATGAAGAATGAAGAGAAGTAGAAAGCAAGAGTGAAGTAGAATTAAAAGAATCTGGAAGAATGAATGGGTCCTAGGTTAAGTAAATGTATGGTTTATGTTCCAGTGTCTGTATGATCAAGTTGTAGATGAATTTGCATGATTACTTAGTTAATAGAGAATTGGTGATCTGGTTCAAGTAGGGAATTTTAGAGGACAGTTAGCAGTATTAACAGTGGGTTATTAATGAGCTGAAATTTTTTCTGGAGGGTGTTGCCTAACCATTTGTTTTCCAGGAGCAATCAATATAAATAATTACGGTACTTTAAATGTTAGGTGTTAGGCATCTACATGACCAGTGCCATTTGTAATACTGTCTTCTTTGTTAGGAGTCTCGCTCTCAGTCAAAATCTCCAACGGGAACTCCTGCTCGAGTAAAATCGGAGAGCAGGTCAGGATCTCGTAGTCCATCAAGGGTTTCCAAACATTCTGAATCCCATTCTCGATCAAGATCAAAATCCAGGTATGTGTGTTTAAAGTAATACTTAAAATAGCTTTTCTTGGATTTTTCAGGGCAAAGTGGTTTTTTGCCACATTTCATTTTTGCAGCATTTTGTATAGAAATTTCACAAAATATTCCAATCATGTAGTTTTCTCAAAATGTTCACATACAGAGTTTAGAAATGAGTAGTACATTTGAGATAAAGACATAAATAAGGTAGAATTATATTTAGCTCAGTCTATCACATACTAGCTGGCTATTAAAACAAATGTCAGTTGATTTAAATGTGCTTTTTATTTGAGGATTAGTGTTTGATTTTACTTCAGTAGTATTTGCACAACAAAAAAGGAACTTTTTTTCCACTAAAGAGCTGGCATGTAATGAATGTACTGCAGAGAATTTGATGTATGTATGTTCTATTGGTTATCAGAATGATTTGAGAAGGTTTTTCATAGTTCACATTCCAGCTACATTCTTTACCTGAATATTTTGACTTAGGTTCAGGGTGGAAATCTGCTTAGATGTAATTGGAGGAGTGGGCAGAGGATTCCCTGGGTGATTGAGAGCTGCTGCCACTACCAGCTCAACATATTAATACTCCAATAGCTACTGCAGGGTTTACTATATTGGATGTCCCAGGTGTGCTGGGTGGGGGAAACAGCCTACAGTTAGTTTGATAAATCATTGTAATTTCTTGGTTAGAGTCAATTTATGTTTTTGAATAGGTCTATTTGCAGGGAAGCATGAGACAGAATTAGTTAAAAGACTACTTTCCTCAAGGTCTACAGCTATGTCTTTTTCTCTATTATATCCAGCCTAGTAGTTGGTTTACTAACCACTCTAATTAAATCTACATGTGCAGAATAGCGCTGAATGGAATTTGGCTATAGAAACAGAAATGAGTATATTTTCATTTAAGGACCTTAGCATTTGCTGATTTCAGCCCAGAATTCTTTTCCCTCAGATATTCTCTTATCCCTTGATTCAGTTCTTTGCTCATGTGTTACCTGAAAAATTAAGTAACAGAAACTTTTTATTCCCTTAAATTGAGGCTGTAAATTAGTACTGAGGAAAATGTGAAATATCCTCTTTGGTATTCTTGCACAAACACAAATTTTTTTCATACATACCACATCCCACCCCTCAAATGATTAATGTATTTTTTAAGATTGTACTTATCTATTTTTAGAGGGGAAGGGAAGGAGAGAGGAGAGAAATATCAATGTATGGTTGCCTCTCGTGCATCCCCTGCTGGGAACTGGCCTGCAACCGAGGCATGTGCCCTGACTGGGAATCGAACCATGGTTGTTTGGTTCGCAGGCTAGCGCTCAATCCACTGAGCTATGCCAGCCAGGGCTGATTAATTTCTTTTAGATAGTAGGCTGTTCGTTTTATTTTCTTCCTACTAAGAAGCCTTTGTTGCTCTGGCTGGTATGGCTCCGTGGATTGAGCACAGGCCTATGAACTGAAAGGTCACCAGTTCAATTCCTGGTCAAGACACATGGCTAGGTTACAGGCCAGGTACCCAGTTTGGGGGGGGGTGCATGTGAGGGGCAACCAATCAATGTTTCTCTCACATACAGATGTTTCACTCTCTCCCTTCTTCCCTTCCCCCTTTTCTAAAAAGATAAAACCTTTATTTAAAAAAGAAGCCTTTGTTTGCTTATATCAGTAAATCTATGCTCTCATCTTGATATTCAGGCTTTTGTATGACATTGTCTCGATCCTTTCCTAATCGTCACTCTCCTTAATACCTTGCAGATTGTACTGTTCTGCAGTTCTCTGATCATGTGTCCACGTCTTCTTGTCAAGGAACCTTTGCTCTTGCTATCTCTAGGACATCTTCCCCCATCTACCTGATAAAGTCTGTTAAGTGCCCGGGCTTTATTATTAGCCTTCTTGGTTTTGAACAATCTTCCCTCTTTAGTTTTATTCCTACACACACGTGCCCTCTTTTCAAACTTTCTGGCCCTTGGTATTTATAACATTTATTGAATACCTTATAGAAGTTATTTTGTGTGACTGTCATCACTACTGGTCTGGGTGTTTAGTAAAGGATGGGTCATCTGAATAGTAGAAATTGTTGCATTGATAGACAAAGAGGACTGTGAGAGTGACTGGAAATAATCAGACAAGAGATGAACTAGGAATCAGCAATAGAGAGATGGGCGAGATGCTGTAGAAAGCTTGATGAAAACTATTAGATTAGAAGGGCATTTAGGTTGATGAACTAGTATAGTAGATGCTAGGTTGTAGCAGGCTAAAGAACGATTGGAAAGGAAATGATACTTTACAGTGAAGGGAATGTGTTATATTGAGAAGGTGATACGTGATTTGATGAAATGATTTTAACATTTGTATTTTTTATGATAAAATACACAAAAATTTTAACCATTTAAAAATATATGACTCAGTGGTATTAACATTTGACATTGTTGTCAACTGTCACCATTATCCATCCTGATAACTCTTTACCTCTTGTAAAACTGAAACTATACCCATTAGACAGTCATTTGCCATTTTCCCCTTCTCCCATCCCAGAACAACGACCATTTTACTTTGTCTTCATGATTTTAATTACTAAATACCTCATGTAAGTGGAGTCATACAGTATTTGTTTCTTTGTGACTTATTTCACTTAGCGTAGTGCCCTCAAGTTTCATCTGTTGAATATTACAGAATTTCCTTTCTAGTGGTAGTTGGGCTGCTTATTTTGTTTGTTTTGTTTTTAAAGAAAGGGCCTCAACATGCTTGTAAGGCAAAAAGAGTGGATGTAGAAGGGACAGGCTGAGAACAAGAGATTGTAGTGATGAAGGGAATAAGAGGAAGACTCCCTTCCTGAGAAAGGGGCTGAGAATAGGCAGGGATTATCTCTGTGGGTCCTTGGCAATAGCCATTTGTTTCAGTATCACCTAAACTTTTTCTCTCAAAGGTCGAGGTCAAGGAGGCATTCTCATAGACGTTACACTCGATCCAGATCCCATTCTCACTCTCACAGGAGGCGGTCTCGGAGTAGGTCGTACACACCAGAGTACCGACGTCGAAGGAGCCGAAGTCATTCTCCAATGTCTAACCGGAGAAGACACACAGGCAGCAGAGTATGTGGTTTTTAAAAGTTAATGAAAATTCTTTTTTCATTTGTGTTTTGTCCTATAGCATAATATCTTGCTTTATGAGAATGAGACCATTGTTTAAAAAGTACTCAAAAATCATCCTTGAGGGTATGGATATTATTTGGTATACATTTAAGTATATTTTCTTGACTTTTGAGTAGTTAAAAGACATGAACTTTGGGGAGAAATGGTATGTTCCAAGAATTAAAATGAAAAGCATAAGCTGAGTTGAGAAGATTGAGATAAAAGGTTTTATGATGGGGAGTAGGCAGCAGGTAAATACTGTAGAAATAGCTTGCACTCAATAGTATGAGCACTGTGCAAAGTTCTTCAACACAGGTCAGCATGTTATGGATAACAAAACGGAGTCTCTTTATTGTGTATGTGTAAAGATTTTATTTATTTTTAGAAAGGGAAATAATCAAACTGTGTCCTCTTGCCCCCCCCCCCCCCAAAGCTGGCAGCTGGTCCAAAACCCAGGCATGTGACCTGACTAGGAAGTGAACTTCGACCTTTCAGGTTGCAGGATGATATTCAACCCACTGAGCTACACCAGTCAGGGCAAGGAAATTGCCCTGTTTGACACTGAGGAAACCTCAGTTTGACACTGAGGTTTCTTTTTTGGCTAGCCGCAGAGCCCAGGTTTCAGTCAGACCCTTGACTCTAATGTTATTGTGCTCAATTAACAATGCTGTTCTTCTCCATGTGATGCCGCACCACTGAACTCTGGTGGGATCTGCTGAGGAATGAAAGTGGGGGCAGGGATACTAATTAGCAATTGCAGATGAAATCAGATTAAGTACATGTCTATAAAGGATATAAAACATTTGAATAAACTAGAAATATGGCATTAAACTGAGGGTGTATTTTTAGTATACATTCTGAAAATTGTTGGAATAGAAAGTAAGGTTGTTCCCTCTCCTGCTCCCCCCAAAAGTCCTTCTTTCTTCCTTTCTCTTTCTTTTTTTATTTTATTTAATTTTATTTTATTTTTAAGATTTTATTTATTCCCCTGACTAGTGTAGCTCAGTGGTTTGAGCGCAGGCCTGTGAACCAGAGGATTGTGGTTCAATTCCCAGTCAGGGCACATACCTGGGTTGCAGGCCAGTTCCCAGCAGGGGATGCACTAGAGGCAACCATATATTGATGTTTCTTTCCCCCTCTCCTTCCCCTATAAAGATAGGTAAATAAAATCTTTAAAAAAGATTTTATTTACTTTCAGAGAGGGGGGAAGGGAAGGAGAAAAGGGGAGAGAGCATCCATGTGTGAGAGCTATATCGATGGGTTGCCACTCACACGCCCCCAGCTGGGGACCTGGCCCGCAATCCAGGCAGGTCCCTTGACTGGGAATCAAACTGGCAACCCTCTGGTTCACAGTGCTCACTCCACTGAGCCACACCAGCCAAGGCACTTTCTCTTTTTCTTCTTTCATTGTATTTGTTTATTTTTAGAGAAAGGGGAAGGGAGGGAGAAAGAGAGCAAGCCTGACCTGTATAGAGCTCGGTTGGGCGTCATCCTACCTAGCAAAAGGTTACCAATTCTTTTCCAGTCAGAGCACAAGCCTGGGTTAGGGGCCAGGCCCCCTGTTGGGGGTATGCGAGAGGCAACTAATGGATGTTTCTTTCCCACATCAATGTTTCTCTCCCTCCCTTCCCATCTGTATAAAAATAAAAAAGTAAAGTCTTTTTTTTTTTTAATATATGCTTGTTTTTTAAAGAAGAGAGCCCTAACTGGTATGGCTCAGTGGGTTGGGCATTAACCCACAAACCAAAGGTCTCCAATACAGTCCCAGTTTGGGATACATGCCTGGGTTGCAGGCCAGGTCCCAAGTTGGGAGTGTGCCAGAGGAAACCAATCCATGTTTCTCTCCCTCTATTTCTCCCTCCCTCCCCCTCTCTTTAAAAATAAATAAAATCTTTAAAACAAGACTCAATTTCCTTTCCCATAAATAAATACGATTTTGTATTTAAATAAATTGTATTATAAATACAATTTTTGTATGTCATTAATAAATGAGAAACAGAGGTAGGGAGACAAACATCAGTGTGAGTGAAAACCATCAATTGGATCTGGAATTGAACTGGTGACCTCTTGCTTTGAGGGATGATACCCAACCAACAGAGCTGTACCAGCCAGGACAGTGAGAGTAGGGTTGTTGTTCAGGCTACAACCTAAAGTATGTAGACATAACTCAATCTGTCTTTTTCCCCTCTCTTAAATTGTTTCCAAGTTACTTGAAACAGTATGGTCTTTGGGTATTGGGTGAGGTGTTTTAAGCTCTGTGTTTTAATATTTATTTTAATTTGGAGCTTAAAGTTAATTGACATCTTTCTTTATTCAACAGGCAAATCCAGATCCCAACACTTGTCTTGGAGTGTTTGGCCTCAGTTTGTACACAACAGAGAGGGATCTTCGTGAAGTATTTTCTCGATATGGACCATTGAGTGGTGTCAATGTGGTTTATGATCAGCGAACTGGACGATCACGAGGATTTGCTTTTGTGTATTTTGAGAGAATAGATGACTCAAAGGAGGTAGTTTTGTTTTTATGGATGTCACTTTGAACATTTTCTGGTGTACATGATCATAGTATTGAGTTGCTATTTTAAAAGTTGATTAACAGACTCCCAGTTCTGTACACATTATGTCCTCTTTCATTCTTGACCTGATTCAAACTCTGTGTCTTAGAGTTAAAATTAAAGTGGCCAGTTTCACGTTCCAGCTAATACTTTCTGGTATAGGCATATCCTTATTGAAATCTGGCCTTGTAAAGTGAGATGTATATGTTTGAGTTAATGGAAAAAGTGAAGTGCGTGTTTCGTTTGATTAAGCCTTATATATACTCCAAGCAGGTGATTAATTCACTTTGTAGAATTACAGTGTTTTAAGTTGAATCTGTTTGATTTTATGTCCAGTTTCTACCCATGTGCACATAGAGCTTTGTTTTTCTATTCTCTTAATATTCATCTATCATTCTGTTGTATAACCACAAAATACTAGATGATTTGGTACTCTTAAGTTTTTGTTTGGTGCTATTCTTTTACTGCTTGATTGATTGATTGACTGACTGATTAAATTTGTGGAGGGACACAGAGAAACAAAATTTGTTGTTTTGCTTATTTATTCATTGGTTGATGCTTTTATGTGCCCTTCCTGGGGCTCAAACCCACATCATTGGTGTATCTGAATGATGCTCTGACCAAGTGAGCTACCCAACCAGGGCCTGTTTGGTGCCATTCTTAATTTGTCAGCAGAATGATTTTAAATAGTGCCAGTCTAATGTAATAGGTATTAGATTGTAAAGGAATCGGTAGGCTTGCTTTCTCTATACTGAAAGTTTAGTGATTGAGTTAGAAAACTCCACTCTAAGGAATTTGAAGCTCATTGTTAGGGTTTTATCAGTTCTTAATAGATTACAGATATTAGCATTTTTTATACCATTTTACTTGTGACGGTAGCTGGATATATGTTACTGTTGCCTTATGCATCAACAATGCTTGATTGCAACAAAAGCAGTCATAATAAATGTTAGCAAATCTTTTAAAAATAATAGGCCATTTGCATGTATGGGTAAACACCAGGGATGGTACTAAACATCCTACAGTACACAGGAGATAGCCACCCACAACATAGAACTGGCAGTCCCCAAATGTCCATAGTGCTGAGGCTGAAACCTGAATAAGTCTTAACGAAACAATGCTGCATGTTTTAAGTCCTTTTGCAACAGGCATTCTAATTATTTAATTTATTCATTCATTCATTTATTCATTCATTTTTGCTGTTATGTAGTGTACCCCCCTTATCTGCCGGGGATAAATTCCAAGGCCCCCAGTGGATGCCTGAAACTGGATAGCACCACACTTTTCACTTAAGCAATTTTTACAGCTTTTCTTTGGCATATCTGAATTGCCAGCATTGCTGTTCTTACGCTTTGGGGCCACATAGGAGTGACTTTAACACAAGCACTGAGATACTGTGACAGTTGAGACAAGTGGGATGTCTACTAAGTAGCCAGTGGGGGGTTGGGAGGAGTAGCTTATACAGTGTGGATATGCTGAACAGGGATGATTTATATCGTAGGAGGGACAGCACACAATTTTAAACATGTGAATTATTTATTTCTGGAATTTTCCATCTTGTCCCCTGGTTGACTGGACAACTGAAACTGCAGGGAAGGGGTACAGGGCTACTATATTTGTTTATTGTTTATTCCTGATCTCAAGGGGTAGGCAAATTTAAAAATACCAAGATATCTGACCTGAAGTGAATGTTGAAAAGTGTGAACAATATCACAGTGTTCTTTAAGTATGAAACTTATTCATCCTATTTCTTGATTCTTCATCTCCCAGGTTTATTTCTGGATAAAACAAAATGAAAATAGCCACTTAGTTCCAAAGAACTTAATGCAAATTTGTCAAAGTGGTTGAATTATTATTGCATTTATTGGTATTAGTGTCAAAAGTCAAAGTGATAGGCGGTGTAATCGCAGGTGTAAAGGACCTGCATAGGTCCTGTCAATAAGGGCTCCTTTTCAATAAGGGCTCCAAAAGGAGCACTTACTGACGGGTTTAGAGGTTCCTTTATATTTGCAGTCCACTGGGTGGCAGTGTGTTCCTAAGGCCTGGCTCAACTAGTTTAGTTTAGGCTTGAAAGTTTGTACTTTGAGTTGCCCAGACACTGGCATGTATATAACAAGTGTTAATATGTAAAATCCTACCTCCTGTTGTTTGAAAGAGAAGTGCTTAGAGAACTTTAATTTATTAAGTTTTGGTAGTGTCTCCTGGGTGAATTATGCATGACTTTCTATGCCTCTCTCCTTTAAAGGCTATGGAAAGGGCAAACGGAATGGAGCTGGATGGTAGAAGAATTCGTGTGGATTATTCTATCACCAAGAGAGCACACACACCTACACCAGGCATCTACATGGGCAGACCGACTCAGTAAGATTTCAAATTTTCTAAGCTAAACTGCTATAACCGAAAGTCTACCAGAAATATCTACAGAATTTTGATTAGTTAAAGGATAAAATTTTTTGTATAATTAAAATGGGAATATACTTAATTTGTATATAGTCTTTGAATCATTTATTTCTTTATTTTTATTTATATATATATCTACATACACACACACAGTTGACCCTTGAACAACATGAGAATTAGGGGAACCAACTCCTTTGTAGTCAAAAATCCATTTAAGCTTTTGACCCCCAAAACTTAGTACACTACCAGGAAAGAATTGGTTCTAAGACCTCCACAAATACCAGAATTTGTGGATCTCAATTCCATATGTAAAATGGCATAGATCGACGCATGCAGTGGACCCTCAGCATCCACAGACTCCCAAACATTGCTTGAAAACGGTACAGTGTTTGTTGTCGGGGTGGGCTGGTGTGGCTCAGTTGGTTGGGTTGTCCTCTTGTAAACCACAAGGTAAGTGGGTTCGATTCCCTGTCAGGACACATACCAAGCTGCAGGTTCTTTCCTGCTGAGTGCACATGCGAGAGCTAACCAGTCTGTTTTCCCCTTTGTCCCCTTCCCTCTGAAATGGGTGAGCATGTCCTCGGGTGAGGATTGAAAAATAATAAACCTGTATGGTTCAAGGGTCACCTGCGTATGTGTGCGTGTGTGTATGAGCAGGGGGTAAGTTAAAACTATTGAAGTGCATTTCTGGCCCTTGATACTACAGAAATAGAAAAGTTACTAGATATTAAAAAATATATGCTTTTGCCCTGGCTAGTGTGGCTCAGTGGATTGAGTGCCGAACTGCAAACCAAAGAGTTGCCAGTTCAATCCCCTGGCAGGGCCAGTTCCCAGGCAGGGCACATGCCCAGTCTGGGTTGCGGGCCTGGTCCCCAGATGGGGTCATGCAAGAGGCAACCACACATTGGTGTTTCTTTCCCTCTCTTCCTCCCTCCCTCCCCCCTCCCCCCTCTCTCAAAATAAATAAATAAAAATCTTTTAAAAATATATATATATGCTTTAAAAAGCATTTCTATTTTTATGTGACCTGGGAAGCGTCTGTATACAGGGAAGGGTTTTACTGATATTAGTGTTTATTTAATGGGGGGGGGCAACTTTTACATTATGTATAACACAAATGGGGACTTAAAAAATTCTTGATGTTTTTAAAATTGCTTTGAATTAGTCTTTTTTTAAGATTTCATTTATTCATTTTTAGGGAGGGGGAGGGAGCGAGAAAGACATCAGTGTGTGGTTGCCTCTCACCCACCCCTACTGGGGACCTGCCTGCAGCCCAGGCATGTGTCCTGACTGGGAATCGAACCACAGCACTCATTTCACAGAGCCATACCAGCCAGGGCTGAGTTAGTCTTGATGACACTCATTTTAGCAGTTTGGTGTTTTTTCCCAGCACAGTTCATTTTACCTTGTTGAGAATGTCCTGCTGACTTAGGTAGTGCATTAATAGAACAGCAGTTTATAGTTTGGAGAGGTGTGTGAAATCTTTTTTGGTTATTTGTGTAATGACTAGGAAGCCTACCACTGATGGCAGCAAACTTAAGCCGTGGGGGTAATTGGCATGTATGGGTTTGTTTTTTCTCCCTTACCTCACCACCTTCCTCCATTTTAAGTACCATACCATTTAGTATTAATTAACTGATACTAGAAAATAATAGTTCACGTTGATGTAAAGTTTTAAACTTTTTTCCGCAGTAGTGGCGGCGGCGGAGGTGGAGGCGGCGGTGGAGGTGGCGGAGGTGGCAGACGTCGAGATTCCTACTACGACAGAGGGTATGAGCGTGGCTATGACAGATATGAAGACTATGATTACCGGTACAGGTAATGTTTTCACTTGTGGTTTCTGTTCTGAATTAGATGGTGGTAGTAGTATTTGGCACTTTGGATTTACGTTTGATACGTATTAATAAAAATGTTTAAAAGATTATTACATGATGCTTTCTTTAAAAATTAGGAAAGAATGATTTTCTCTAGACTGAAGAGAGGTTAATTATCTGTATTTGCCAATATTTTGTTGTGCCACATACCTACTGTTTTAGTATCATTGGCACATAGAGAACTTAATTATCATCTTGGGTTTGGGTTTATTGGTGGCGGGGGAGGGTTCCCCTTAACATTATTTATTGGGGAAAGGACAGTGTTTTTATTTACTTATTTTTAAGATTTTATTTTTCTTTAGAGATAAGGGAAAGGGGAGGGAGAAACATCATTGTGTGAAAGATACAGCAGTTGGTTGCCTCTCACTCGCCCCCAACTGGGGACCTGGCCCACAACCCAGACACGAGCCCTGCCTGGGGATCAAACCAGAGACCTTTGGGTTCACAGGCTGGCACTCAGTTCACTCAGCCACACCAACCAGGGCAGGTTTATTATTATTACTTTGAATGATGGGAAATTATTATTTTCATCTGCCTCAGTGGGTTATGAGTATGCTAAGTAATTGTTTGTTTCCTACAGAAGAAGATCACCTTCTCCTTACTATAGTCGCTACAGATCACGATCGAGATCTCGGTCCTACAGCCCAAGTACGTATTCTTGTGCTTTTATAGTGTTAAGAGCCTCATTTCTAATTAATGCTTGACTTTAGAATATTAGGATATATGGTGACTGGTAATGGTTGGAAAAATAGTAAGAAAATCAAACTGATTTTTCATTTTGATATTTTTCCCCCTCTTTTTTCAGGACGCTACTGATAACAGAATGGTTGCCGTGAAGGATTTCTTTTTCTTTTCTTGTTTAATTCTGGATTTCTCTGAGCTTCTAACCCTTCCTACTTCTTAAAAAGAACTTTTTAAAAAATCTTTGGTTTATTTAGCATCTACACTTTGTCAATTGTATTGCTGTTTTCCACCCCTTTTATTATACTCTTAAAGATGTGATTGTTGTCATTTTGAGTAGTTAAACATCTTGAGTAAAAAAGGAACCGCTAGTGTTACGCTTTGTAATGATTATTTTTAAGGTTGCTTTTTTAGAAAATTAACTCCAGGCCAATCAAAAGAGGAAAGAAATGATCTTTTTAAAGCTTCTTTTGTGTCAGATACTGTATTAGACATTGTATTAGAAATCTGCATTTACAACGAACTCCTTTTTCAACTTTCTTTTGGGGAAGATAGTAAGTAGCACACAAAGTAGTGCAGCCCCGTCCGGTTGTCTGGGGCGACGTGGAACAGTCAGATAGTTGAGTGTAGAGGGTGTGAAGCTGTGAAAGGAAACACGTGGTCATTTCTTTTCAGAAATGGAAAATTTGAACCTTAAAAATTACATTGTTTCTTTAGAGATGGAAAACTTGTGTACTTCTATAAAACATATTTAAAATACATCTGTTAAAACTTAACAAAGTGTGATTTTGTGTTGAATTTTTGAAGTTTAAGTATTCTTTTAATCAGTGAAGGATAGCCCATATTATTTATTACTTAGAGCAGTTGTACACTTTGCTGTTAGAAATTTTGGGCATCGGGATGTTGGTCAAGCAGGCTCTTCTTGTATAGCATGGAGTCCTTGGAGGATGTGTGTGGGGAAGTAAGTAGTCTTTCAAATAAAAGTTCATTTCTTTGAAAATGGGACTGTCTCTTTATTGTGTTACAGGGGGGGAGATACAACTGGACTGATGTGGGAACCATTTCTTCCTTTTTTTCTAACATTTTTTTGCTTAAAATGTAATCCTTGTCTCTTATTCAGTCTTTAAAAACCTTTGTTTTATTCACCTTTTTTGTTGACCAGGTTGTAACTGTTGAAAGTATTCAGTATCAAGTACCATGCTGAAGGAAAGATAATACGGTTCATGTCTTCAAAAAGCCCACATTCTAGTAGGAAACACACTTAAACAACTGCACTGTGACATTAAGGGGAGAGTGTTTTAACCAAGAGGTGGCTGGTGTTTCAGGTGTTTATGAAAAGGTAAAGGAGTATGAGCCCCTTCGCTTTCTCCCTCAAAGCAGATATAAATTAGATTATTATGATCTTTGTAGTAGGGGATCTATGGGATTGAAGTGCCTTGGACATCTTAATTGAAAAGCTGACTTTTTTTAAATGTCTTTAAAAAGTTTGCCAGTGAAGGCTATTCAGAGAACAAAGCAGTTTCTTGTTGGTCCCTGGAGGGTTTTTATTCTTAAGCCACGTTGTTAAAACATTAGGATTCATTGCCCTAAAGAGAACATTAATATGTTGACTATGGGGATACTTTAAAATTTAAGTGGTGTATCAAGAAAAGTGGAAATAGCCACACTTTGGAAGAAAGTAGCGATATGAAGAGACCATAAACATACATAGATGTGTTAGATACATATTGATGGAGAAATCAGGGGATTCAAGTTTCAATGGGGCAGTCTTTGAAGTCTTCCCTAAGTAGTTGAAATTTGAGTAAAATCTGAAAAGGGGAAAGGGGCCTTGTAGATATTTGGACGAAGAGTGTGTTAAGTGTAAGAAACAGCAAACGTTAATGGCCTTATAAGGCAAAAGAATACCTAGAATGTTGGAGAAGACTATGATAACCTTACGAGCTGGGCCTTGCTAGGGAGGGGAAGAGGTTGGCAGTTTCATCAGTGGAGGTGAGTTCTTTTATAGAGAGGGGGGCTGCTGTCAGAAGCGGGTGTAATGTCACGGATATATGGATATGTATTAGGCTTAAAGACTACATGTGCTACATTGCATGGATGTACAACAAATAAAAATGGGGTATTTCTGGGCCTCTTCTGTTACCAATATTGTTAAAGTGAAAATGAAATTTTTTCAGCTGATTGAAGAAAAACTTGTTTCTAACTCCTTGCAACAGTGGTTCCTACTTAATCTTTTTTGGGTCATGGAGCCCTTAAAAATCTGTGGGGAAATTAAATCTGTCTTCCTAAGGAAAGTACACACATAAAACAATGTGTATATATAGGTATTTGGTTTTTAAATTACATTTTATGTAGAATAAAATCTACAAGAATATGTACCAGTTTTCTAATAGTGGTTCATTACCCTGTGAAGTAGTAGTCTGGAGAGGGCCTTGGAAAAAAGAGAACAATTTTACATACAAGTTTAAGAACATGTACACCTCTGTGGGTAAAAGCTCCTGTTGCAGACATTGCCTCTGGATTTAAGATGTACAATTTTCCCTGGCTGCCTGGTCTTCAAGGTGTCACTTAGAACGTTTGAATTTCCTAGCACCTTAATATATATTGCTTCACTATGGGAATTAAAAGTCTTATTAGTAATATAAAATAAAGGTTTATTCAAAATATGCCTACCCTGATGCCAAACTTAAATCTTTAGGTTTATGAATTTTTTCCCCACCTAATGAATTTGTAATTAAGTGGATTGAATGGTCAAAATCAGTGCATTTTTTGTATTACATAAAGTATACATGAAAGGGTTAAAGTAAGAGAAACATCAATGGGGAATAATGAATACAGAAAACAAGAAAAGCCCAGGTGACTTTCAAGAAAGCAAATAATAAATGGCCCTGGCTGGTGTGGCTCAGTGGATGGAAAGCCAGCATGAAAACCAAAAGATGGCCAGTTGGATTCCCAGTTGGGGCACATGCCTGAGTTTGCAGGCCAGTAACCAATAGGGAAACCCTGGGTGGTGATCAAAGGTTCAAAAAGCATTTGCTTAACTGAAACCAGACATGAGTCCTCACCCTGATACTGTGATGTGTATCTAGTATGTATCTCTGATGGTAATTTAATCCAGGAATAGGTTTTCATGGCATAATTTTCAAACTTCTACAAATACTGCATTTTCATGTGTGTAAATTTGAGAGGCAACTTCATGCAGGAAATACATGCTTTAATGATGAGTTGGTAAAATTTAAAAATTGACCTCCAAAAATTACCAGAGAGGGGGCCTAAATAGACTCTTCTCCCCTTAGAGATGAGCATTAACACATGGGTAATTGAGGCCCCCACGGTTTTAGGGAAGTGTGGCTTTCATCACTTTAATTTGGAAGAATTTAAAGTACTGAAGAGGAGAATGGAGAGTTAGTGTGTGATGTGTACAGTTTCCGTTGGAGCAGATGAACAAGTTGGGTGGGGGTGATGGTTGCACAACAGTGAATGTACTTAATGCCACAGATCTGTGGACTTGAACATGGTGGTTTTTATGTCCAGTTTAGCACGCGCACACAGGACAAAGCAAAAAACCCCGAAAAACTCAAAAGTTTCCTAAAATGAAGATCCGCACATATCTAACTTGGTAGTTTCTTGCTGTTGTATTCTGCAATCTGAACCTTGCAAAGGGCTAGGTGACCAGTGAGGCCATTGCTCACTGCGAGTGCTGCATCACTGGTGCCTAGGACAGATCCTGGTAGGGAATGAATAAAAATACCCAATGAACACTTCTATAAATGAAGAATGAATGAAGGAGGACAGTAACGTGGGGAAATAATTGGTAAGAAATTTCCAATCAGAGAGTTCCATCAAATTAAAGAGCCAAAGTATAAAAGGAGTATGACAAGCTTAGGCTGAAAAAACATTCAGTCCTGCTTACGCTGGTAGAAAGGATGAAGAATCACTTAAATCTGTTTAGTTAAGGAAGAGAAATGGCAAATAATTACAAAAGTATTGGTGCCTGAGTCACCTCATAAATTAATTTGTATGGAACAGATCTTTAATATCAGGTAAGTTGTATTTGATATTTATAAAATCAAGTGCAGAGAAGTCAAGTGGGAATTTTTTTTAAACAAGGGACATGAATTTTCAAGTACATTAAAAATTATTTTCACTAACCTCTGTAAAGGTATACACATTTATAATTTAACTTTTAGTACGGTTACAATTTTTATATTATGGTTTGCTCTGCTTTCTCAAGAGTTATTTGGGGTTTACACTTATTAAAATACCATAAATTTAATAAATGCAAGACTCAAACTTAGAAACATTTGTTGTCTGGTATACATGGATTCCAAATCCATTTATGTACATTAGTGAGTGGGAACACTGAATACTGTAAACACTCCATACCCTCAGTTTATATATATGTGCAGTGGAGATCCAAGTAGAACGCTACTCTACATCCATCAAGGTGTTGTCTTCAATTCCAGTAAACGTTCAGACTCAGAAAATTACATTAGTCCACGGCATCATACTCAGAAAAATACAGGATGGGAAGCGGCGTGCAGTACCAGCTACTCCTCCGGAGTCCTTGCAGCATTGCACACCGCAGTGTGAAGTAACCCGAAAGACCCGAAAAACTCAGTTTCCTAAAATAAAGATCCACACCTCTAACTTGGTATTGTTTCTTGCTGTTGTATTCTGCAGCCTGAACCTTGCAAGGTGATGAAATCCACATTACGCAAGAGCAGGAGCCACCTGGCCTAAGGAGATTTATGCATCATTATCCAACGGATCCATAGGCATGTCTTCCAAAACATGGGAGACAACTAGTTATGGCTGCAGTCGGAGCCTTCAAAGTATGGTATCCCCATCAACTAGTTTCTTCCAGCCCAGAGGCAATTCACAAATCATTTTTACCATAAAATGTGGCAGTTGACACTGTCATTATCAGGATGCCAGAGAAACAACTTTAGTGAAAGGTCAAATTCTCATGCAGAAGGGGGAAGGGTTTTGTTAACCACTTACAATAACCCCTACAAGACGGGGGAAGGGGGTGGAGAATGAATGAAATTGTTCCAAAGAGCATGTGGAACAATGTACATAGGAGGGAGTGCATAAACAGGAAGAGTTCAGAATAGATCCAAGTACACATGAAAATTTATATAATAAAGATACTTCATTTTGGTAGGAGAAGGGCAGATCAAAAGATGGTAAACTTCAGAAGAAAATTCGTTTATTCCTGGCTGGTGTGCTAAGTGGTTTGAGTGCCCTCCTGCAAAACTCACCGGTTGGATTCCCGGTCAGGACACGTTCCTGGGTTATGGGCCAGGTCCCCAGCTGTGGCTGTGCAAGAGGCAGTCGATCGATGTTTCTCTCCCTTCTCCCACCCTTCCCCTCTCTTTAAAAATAAAATATTTTTTTAAAAGACTAGAAAATAAATTTAGAACCTTGCTTCATACCACATGAATATAAACTACAGGTGGATTAAATGTAAAAAAATCTACTAAAAGCTATAAATTACCATTTGGCAATCGTAGTACGTGAGACAAGTAAGACTTTTCAATGAGTGCTAAAACTTGTGGGTAAAAGTTTGAGAAATAAAGAGAAACACAGTCTGAAAGTCACCCTATACAAGGTACTAATTACAAAGGGGACATGTTTGTAATTTTACACTGGTGAACCCGGCAAACACCTTTTAACCAAGTGATGGAAGTTAACATCACTAGTGATGGGGCAAATGGACATCACATTCTTATTGATACAATGCACTAAGGACAGTGTCACTTTATTGGCATTTCCACACACACACAAAAAAAACATAAAACGATTCTAGTGATGGGAAAAAAACAACCACCAAATAATAGGCATTCTATAAAGTAACTGATCTGTGTGCTTCCAAATTTTCAGTATAATGAAAGACTGAGGAATACTTCAGATTAAAGGAGAATGAAAAGACATGCAAGCTTCCCTGGCTAGTGTGGCTCAGTGGATTGAGTGCCAGCTTCTGAACCGAGGGGTGTCTGT